AATAAAATTTGGATTCTGGCCATTGGTTGATAAGTTAGGGTATTTGTCCATTAGATTAGAACATGCATTTGTTATTAACATGAAGTAGACAGAAAGTGACTTTTGGCAAATATATTCAAAGTAGATTCAAAATGAAGGGCATGCATTAGAATATCCAAGAAATATTAAAACCTGCTATAAGATAAGGATAATTTGCTAAAACTCCTAATAATATTTTTCTCTTTAGTCAATATTTATCTTAAAATTTTTATTAATGTGCTTCTCTGAGTTGAGAATTGAGATATGATTTCTGACGCTTTTACTTCCCGGATTTTGTTGCTTCCTGGTTTTGCCTGATTTAAACTGTGGAAAAAATAAAATAAAAGGGTATAAGAGAGACAGCAGCCTGCTGCATCCTGGTGACCTATTGCATGTGTTTTCCTATTCTGCTTTCCACCTATTGGGCTTAGGTCTAGAGAATCTGGTGCTTGCTGGTTTGTGCGATCATCTAGCACAAGAGAATGGCATCCGTTTAGGGACTCAAAACCCTGCATGCAAGGCACACTGATGCCGTACATGTGTCTACGAGGCTCTAATTTGTTACCTTATGTTTAATCATATTGGTTAGGATTTATTCAAAACTCATTACCTGAAATGATTGAAATATGTTATTAACCCTTCTGTACAGTTTACATTTGAGTATATTGTTCACAACTCACAAGATGTGCTTTATGCAGAAGCTTTAATGTTCTGTCTTATATAAGATCAAACAACTTTGACAATTTCTGTGTGAAACCCATACATCATGCTATTTCAAGGTAACAGTCATTTCGGCAATTGAATCAATCTATAAGAATCTAAAAATAGGTCTATATTTACTCAACCAGTTGAAGCTTTGATTGAAGAATTGAATGATGTTCTCCTTGTTCTATTTATCTTTCAATTCCTTAGTTTGGTTTCTTTGTCTATCTTTGTAATTTACAGTGGATTGGGATGGGGAACCAAGAGCTTCTTGAATATTTCAGCACCTATGCAGCAAAAAAGGCTCGTCATTCCTATGGCCCAAATGGTCACCGTGGGATGAGTATCTTAATGTTTGAGCCTACTGCAATGGGCTATCTGGAGGCTGAGCGTCTGCATAAACATTTCTCTGAACAGGGAACAGACAAAGATGCATGGGAACGTCGACGGGTTCTATTCTATCCAGGTGGAAAGCGACAGTTATATGGTTACTTGGCTAGCAAAGAAGATATGGAAGTTTTCAACCATCATTGTCACGGTATATTCATATCTCTATATTCGTTTTTTCCTAATTTGATCTCGTGCAACTATCCCACACTTCAGCTATTTTATAAATGTTTAAGTGCTGCTTCTTTCCTATTTATCCATTGCTTATTAAAAACAATGCTTTTCAGTTTAGAATGCTGTCATTTCAGCACTATTTTATATTATCATAAGAGCCACCCTTTCTGCAAGTGCTATGGCAGAGTAAGAAGTGATACATTCTGATATTTATATGAACATACATTGATATCCATTTTTTTTTTCCAAAAGACTTTTATTTGGGAGATAACTATATACCTTCTCAAAAGTTGGAGAATGGACTTCTGAGTTCTTTATGTATGTTTAGGTGAAAAACCTTGGTCTTAAAACTTTGCTTCACATTATTTGGTTTCCCTTAAATCGCAAAAGTGCAACTTAAAATCTATTCTCAGAAATTCATTTGATTTGTTGTAGAATCTTTCTGTTAATGATGCTATCAATTCTAATTCCATTTGTGCAATTATCAGGAAAATCTAGGTTGAAGTATGAACTGAAATCATACCTGGAAATGGTTGTGAATCCAATGAAGCAAATGAGTGAGGATAACCAACAGCTAACCTATCTTAAACACAAGGTCGTTAAGGAAGAAAGGCGTTCTAAGGTTCTTGAAGAAACTGTTGATGTAGTGAGCCAGAAGCTGCGTGAGACCGTGGAAGAGAACAGGATTGTGAGGCAGAGAACAAAAATGCAGCATGAGGAGAATAAAGAACAGGTAATGGTTCGGATCGACAGAGCTTTCTGCAAATGACATTTCACATAGCATTTTGAACATTCTAGACTGATATTAGGAAATATCCTCTTGTCAATGTTTAACCTGATCCTTCTTATATCTTAAAATATTTTCAGTGCCACAACTCAGTGACAAAATAGGAAAACACTTAATTTTATGTCAGTGGTTGCAGGCTTATATGCTAACTCTATGTTCCATGGGTGTACTTCTATTTGGAGCTGTACTTGTGTCGAAACGTACCCAGTACTGAAACTTCAGTGAACACTTGAATATCTGCATACACTTATTCAAACGTGACACTTCACGATTGTCAATTTGTCATATACCTCTTAGACGTATATCCTACACTTAACGTGCAATTCTTTGCGTTTCTTGAAGCACGTTGGATATAATTTGGATTCATTTTGGCACTTACCCAGTTCAAAACTATGATCATAAAGCGCTTTTGGATATCAAGTTCAAAATGAGCAATTTTCTAAGTTATAGATCTATGTTATAAATAAAACATATAAATGTTATAGAAATTTTATTTCATAGCACATGAAATGGAAAAAAATAATGTTGATCTCATGTAAATTATTATTATTATTATATATACATGAATGTGGAGCCCTGTCACCGTACCCCTACCTTTTACAAATTTGTCATGTCCTGTGCACGTACCCGTTATCCGCGTAACTTAGGCTAGACTTCAGTCTCAAGTTAATGTTTTTAATTTGTGGTTTTGCTATCAATAGAACTATAATGAGCGTGTAACAGTTAAATTGATACGCAAATTGTTACTTGATTCTGTTTCAAAAGCTTCGTTACTTGCAGTGAACTGATACTTCATACCGTATTTCCACCGTTTACAGTCTAAACAATCTGCTTCCTGATATAAACAGCTTCTACTCTCTCTTAATTGTGCCCCCTTTTTTCCAGATGGACTTCCTGGAGCAGTTCTCCAAGGAGCAACTGGCTAAAGTTCAGAAGGACATTGAGGAGAAAGAGAGACAATTTGAGGTTTTACTACAAGAGGAACGTGCTAAAGCGAAGCTGTCTGATGTGAACTCGGGATCCAGTGAAGAACGTGAACTCAGGTAATTTTCTTACTGTAGCATATGATCTGAACATACATAGAATCCAGTAGAGGCTGTTTATTTTACTGGGAGTTTGAGATGCTGGTTCAATATGGACCTGTTTGGTTAGAAAGAGCTCAAGCTATGTAGAAGGCCCCTTTTGCTATTGTCAAAAATCTGCAGTCAGAAACTTGAGATTTGCAGATTGAGCTATATATTATTAAATTAGAGAGATCGATTGATTGTCGACTATTTCAGCTTTAGCTTCTTCCTAGATCAAACATTTGTTCATGATACACATGCATTTTGCATCAAACCAGAAACTTATATACTTAACATTTCCTAGATCAAACATTTGCTCATGATTGTCAACTATGTAGAAGGCCCCTTTTACTATTGTGAACAATCTGCTGTCAGAAACTTGAGATTTGCAGATTGAGCTATATTATTAAATTAGAGAGATTGATTGATTTTCAACTATTTCAGCTTTAGGCTGTTCCTAGATCAAACATTTGCTCAGATGCACACACATGTTGCATCAAACCAGAAACATATATACTTAACATTTCTTACACTTGAATATAAATGCAGCTGAAGCTTCATGGTAGATCCTTCGACTTCATCCAAATAAATAACATCTTATTGGCATATGGTAAACCCCAGTAGTCAAAAGTTATGCATCATAGAGGCAAAACAAAGAGAGTGTAATTACATATGTAAGGTGTTGTCTTGTACCAGTGGTAGACTATATGCAGTGTTACTGAAGGTTGTGCTTTGATCATATCATGCCTTACAAGCATATCCTTATTCAACGATTTGAATGTGGTCAGTCACAGTCTGTTTTTTGAACGATGAGAACTACTTTGTAATATCAAGATATCAATCAGAAACAATAATCTTTGATTCATTAAAGCCTGGTAGTCACAAGAAAAAAAAATGGTTGAAAGATGTTAATCCAATTGCTTGGTTTGTTACAAGTTTGGTGGTCAGCAAGAAAGAATCATTGGAAGATATTAATCCAATTGCGTGCTTTCTTCCTCATGCAAAGCATTTGTGCTCTCTCCATCACCCCCTGATTCTTGGCTTTTCCTTTGCAGAAAAGAAAAAATTCAGAGGTTCATAGACAGCCAGGTGAAGGGCGTCGAAGAGTTTGAAATAGAAAGAGAGAAGCTGATGCTCGAACATGAAGAGAAGAAGGTTGAGCTCAAGCGCAGGTATCTGGGGGAGGAAGTTGAACTGGAGAAGGAATTTGATACTGCTCTCACTAAATTGATGAGCAAGTATGCCCCTAGTTCCTTTGAGACTTCCACCAGGTCTTGATTAACCTGACTTTATGACCAAATATAGCGAAGCAAAGAGGATACTAATTTCCAGAGGATACAGAGTATGCTAGTAAAGTGAAATAACTTTAAAGAACTTTATTTAATTTGTCGTCATGGTATCTGAGGAAAACCTTACAACATTTCCATGTTTAGCTTACAGTTTAAAAGTTTACAGAAATATGAACTGCTTGTTGCTTAGAGTTACTGAGTTTGAAGTGATCTGTTGTTATCATGAGTAGTTCCTGAAAGTTTCGCGTCTCACTTTGCGTTACATTGGTCGATAGAATGTAATGTTAGTGTCGCTTTATTATGGTATGCCTTTTCTAAGTTTGCACCCTTCTACAGCTGTCTACATATTTCCAAAGAGCTTTGGTTCTGCTGATCGGACAATTCATCATCTGTTGGTCTTAGATTTCTTTTTGCTGTTGATTATAAATATCTGTGACAATAACGTATATGAACTTGAAGGAGGAAATTGTATAAGATAATACTGGGACCAACGATGCTTTATGCATTAGAATTTTGTGGATGTCTGCGCGGAGTTACACAAATGACTCTGTAGGGTTTGTTTCCTTGGACAATGTTTTGATCGAATAGAATTTTGTGGGCCCTACCTTACTTAGAGCTATTAATTCGTCAACAGATTTTATTAGCCAAAATGTTTGATAAATTTAGTGGATTATATAATTCATTCCAATAGTTGAGTGTTTGCCAAGCAAATGGCTTATAAACCTGAATGGTTATCAAAATGACCGAAACGTATTTAATGAGGTTAGAAAGAGAAAGAGAGAGAATATATTTTGAAATTTTATGAAACGGTGGGGGGTGTGCTAGTCTTTTGCTTGGCCAAACTCTGTGGCAACTTGATCACTTTCTTTTCATACAAACAAGAATATTTGGATTTTCTTTTCAAATCTAGCTTTTCCATTACGCTACCCTAAAAACCAAACACAAAATAAAAAACTTTGGCTTGTCAAAGATTCTTTGGATTTCTAACATTGTCATAGTTCCAAAATACTAATCCAACACCCAAGCAAGCTCTTAAAAGAATTGAATGTAGGACTGGAATTCATGTAGCCAATCCAGTTGTTGCCGAAGTTGAAGATGATTATCAAAACGTGACTGCTTAGAACCATTTAGCTCTTAGTCTACCATCTCCATGAAAAATCTTCTACTCATCTGAACTATACCTGAACTCGCTATAAGTCTTCGTTGATAGAACACATGTTCATTTATGCGCGCGTTCAAATTTTCGAACAAAACACTCTAACCCACATGGCAATTTCCAAAAAAAGACTAAAATACCCTAAAACTTCGACATATAGCATCACCATCAAACTCTTGTACCAGGTAACAAGATCATCAAACCAAATAATTCTTAACTAGAGCTGAGCCATCTGCTGAACGTTGATCGGGAAACAGTCGGTCGGCGGTCCAGTAAATGCTCTCTGAGCCAGGATCATGTTCACAGCTTGCGTTGGATGGAACGCGTCCCAAAAGACGTGCTGGTCGCGGTTGCTGCAGGGAACAGCGAACGGTAGGCATGTTATCTGACCCTGGTTCCTCCCCAGCCCACAGCATGCGCGGTCGATCACTGTGAAGCCTGATGGATTCAGTGAGCACCATCGATCATTTACTTATATTAGCATATGTTAGAAGCAAGGATCTTTCCGTGTGTACGTAGTATACAGTGGTTTTGTAGGGTTAACTCAGAAAAACATGGGGTGTTTTGCGTAAAAAAATACCTTAAAATTACTCTGTAAATTATTTCACTGAAAATCCGTGAAGATAGTCGTTATAGTTTAAACTGTCACGTGCTTCAAACACGATATATTCCGCACAATTTTGTGATTACGTAATATTGGAAACTATCATTGAAATTTGCTCGCAAGTCCCTCAAATCCTGAGTGGCTAATTGCAAATTGGTCTCTCGACGAGTAAAATACCTCTAAGCTTTTGTTTTTTTTTTTTTTTGCGAAAACAGCGGTTTCGGGGGGAAAGCATAAGCTGAGGGCTGGTCATTGAAGGACCAATTTGCAAGCCCTTTAGGACTTGAGGGGCTGACGAGCAATTTCAAAGAGTATGAAGTTTAATTAGGACGGTTTTGTGCAACGAGACGTCCAAAGGCTCAGATTTTTTTTTTTTTTTTGCAGAATTTACCCGATATACTATTTACGTACCATAAGTACTTGGATTGTTTAGGATGTCACCGAGCGCACCGTAAGTGTTCCCGTAGACGAAGATTGCTCCCGGGTGGTTAGTATTCAATTGTTGAGCTAGTGTTCTGAGCCCAACATTGAAGGGGCCAAGCATCTGGTTGACCTGGTCAACGCACCGGCCAGGTGGGCCCAACCCGGTCGCACGCTGATTAGGTGTGCAGCCGAGAGGACCGATCCCAACCAGGAAGAACTTCCTCAGTCCGAGGTCATATAGTGCCTGGAAAACAAACAGAAACACAGAAATTTTTCGTAAGCACGCATCTCCGATTCTCGAACTGCATGTTTATTGGATGTTTTGATGGCGTTTATTATGTACCAGTAATTGTCTTGCGTAACGGTTGAGGAGGAGGTTGGCGTACTGCTCCGGGGTGTAGTTGGATCTCGTAGGGTACAGAAACGGTAGGAGATAGTTGTTTATGTAGTCGTTGCTGCCGTGCCGATGGCGAAGACGGCGATGGATCTTGCGAGATGTTGGCTCAGGTCTCCTGCCGGCATCAGGGATCTCAGCTGGTTCAGGTTGCTCTCGAAGTTTAGTACTTGCTGACTTAGACTGTACCTTTCTCCCTGCGTATATCAGAAGTCTTGAGTTAAAACAGACCGATGGAGGGAAAATATTCGCACGTAAAATTCTAGAAAACCCCCCTTAGATTTTTAGGAATGGCTGAAAAAACAGGCCATGTTTTTTTTCATCTTAATTATATTTTCATCATTAAACAGGTCACATGGGTATGACGAAAACTCAGGAGGGGATCGAGGAGTGAAAATGTTAGTTTTAAAACTTCGACAGGTCTTCTGTCATTCCGCAAACTCTATAGGGGCTTTGTGCAAATTTTCCTAATTAATTTAATAGAGATTATTTATCTCAAGAGACGGTAGGATCTTAGAGAGCTAGTACAAGGTATTGGCCAGATTCATCAAGGATGCCTCCAGCTGCTGAAGCGTAGTTGACACCACCAAGCAATGCCGTTCCATTTGCAAAAGGACTTGTATACGGTGGAAGGTACGGAAGCCCCAGTAAGTCACCTGTTAAAAAAAATTCATAAAACCATGCAAATACTTTGATAACCGAGAGTTATTACGTACGACATCAATCGAGTTCACACCCTATCAAAACAGCCTGCATGCAAGCGGACAGTTCTGACCCTTGGATTAAAAAAACCTAAGGGGTTAAAACTGAAATTTGTGCCTCCCGTCGAGGGTCAGAACCGTTCGTTCGCATGGAGGCGGTTCTGATAGGTTGTGTAGTGGTATCAGTGGATAAAGAAGAGAAAATAGCTTACATAATATATCTACTGCAGTCTTGCCATTACCAAACCTACCAGTAGGTCCTTGAAAGAAATCAATACCATAAGGGTAGTAATTAGCTTTAGCTATAGAGCTCATATAGTTATTGTTGCCATCATCAGCTAAAGAGTCCCCAAACACAAACAAAGCTGGGACTTGGGGATCACTGAGTACTCCAACTGAGCGCTGCAGTAGTAGAGAAATTAAAATAGGGACAAAGCAATTAGAAATGCTCATTTTCCCCCCCCTTTTTCAACTTAATTAAGTGAATTAGTACAAGAGAGTGTAGTATTACTTGGTGATGTATGTATATATATTGACTGTTGTCCGTACTTTCGATAACGGCTGAAGAAACACACGCGATTCCTGTTTTTTGATTCACTTTCCTTTTTTATTTCTTTTTTTCGATAACGGCTGAAGAAACACACGCGATTCTTTACTTTTTCCCTCTTTTTTTTTATTTTCCCCCCCTTGTACTCCTGGTTTTGTGGTTGGCTAACGGATTATTCTTGCTTTTAGAGTTCAGCGTTTCGTTTGACACAATGCTGATTGCGTGTTGGATGCGTAGAATGAGAAGATAATAAAAGTTTACTGATCACGCGGAAAACGATGGGGAGATGACATATTGACCCGATTCATTACTGATAATTTTATAAAGTACAGGTTTCATATCATAGCTATATCCATAACTAACCATGATACAGATATAGATATTTCTATACAAGAAAAATTCATATTCATAGCCGTCTAAATTGAATACAGATGCAGATATAAATAAGAGAAATATATATATATATATAGAAAAATGGGTATGTTTGGTACCAAGCACAAATTTTGTGCTTGGTGGTGGGGTGTCTCATTCTCATCCACTCATTCACAAATTTTGTGCTTGGTACCAAGCATACCCATATTCCTCATATATATATATATATATATATATATATATATATATATATTAAACAAATATGAGAAAATTAGATAATCTTCAAAAAAATATATGTCATGTGATACAATAGATGCTTAAAATAATAAATAACATAAATGTCTAAAATGATAGCTCATTAATATGTTTAACATATTTGAGAATTTTACATTTTTATTCATAAATCCTTTAATTTACTGGTCAAAACAGTAAAACCGTATAATTGATAAAAAGTCGGATATTTTACTAGATTATATATTTGTATTCATATCCACATTTCCATATTCGTATCTTGCCGGATACAGATATGGGTATGCCTCTTGGATCACCGGCATTGAGGGCGATTTTCTCGTTAGTAGATAAATTGTTTAGAAAACACTGATTACTACTGTCCAACGCTACAGCTCTGTGTACTGCAAAGTGATACCTTTTGCAAGAGCTGATGATGCTCGAGAAATGTACTGTCGATAAGGGAAATCTTCACATGAACTAAGCGTACCAAGGGGGTTAAATTTCACAATGGAATTTCTTGTGCAAATGGAGAATGCTGGAAAATAAGCGAAATCATGTAAGTGACCAAAAGGGATAATCAATTAATTTCTCTCCTTTATCTTGCTTTCCCGAACTCAATTTTGGATCAATTGCACGGTTTTCCCACCGATTTGGACAGCCCTACCAGTGTCGCAAGGTTTTCCCACACTGCAATGAATAAAAAGACAGTACGCACTCCCCCACATCCAGACTCTAATTGTAGACTGAAGATTCATGTACACGCACACACACAATCTCGGGTAACATCATTGTCCCAAATTTCTCAAGAACTTCGCTTGTATAAAAGTTTCTCCGCATTAGATTGATTAGGTTTGGAATCAACAACATCAACGGGAAAAAAAAAGTTATCGACAAGGCACCAAAAATACTATACAGAGCCGCAATTTCGCACACAAATCAGATCTCACTTCCGGGCTCCACAGAGTAAAACATGGTGATGAAATATTCAATGGCTTCATTCTTAACTAGTATACGAAGTTACATGGCTGCAAGCATTCTATTCCTGATCCTCATTATCCATGTTTGCACCCTTGAGTTGCAAGTATTTCTCCCTCCTCTGGAAATCAGTCAACCCTTTCCCACTATTAGTTACTCCAACCTTACCATATGGATCGTCCGGAGACTTGAAGATGCTCTCTCGCTTGCGTCCTGAAAAGAAACCAACCTGCAAAAGACATAAAAGAAAAATTATCATCTCGAATATCAAAGGGGGGATGGATAAGATGAACCAAATAAAATAGAAATCCTAGTACCAAACGACCACCAAGCTCCTATAATTAATCATCTCTGGTAAATATAAAACCGTCAAGTTATTTGCTAATACAATAATCCTTTCATTACAACTATTTTTAGACCATCCTTTTCAAAAGCAAAGCAATTCCAACTCCAATATGTTTGACCTTGGTTTTGGCAATTAATAAAATGATGATTTTGCTTTGTTCCCTCTATTTAAGTGTGATTCTGAGTTAGGAAGTATGAGTGACTTCCCAGTCTAGCACTCCTAATTTATCGTTTAGTTCTTCCACGTACCTTTCTGTCTTTGGTTTTTATTTATTTATTCTTTTAGGGCGGGTCTTCTTCTTCTTCTTCTTTTTGTGGGTTTGTTTTGGTGTTGGTTTTTTTTGTGGGGTGTTTTTGTTTTGTTTGGGGTGGGGTGGGGTGGGGTTTGAACCAAAACGAAAAATTGAATATTCTATCCAGTTGGACACTTGAAAAAAAATGTGGGGTCCATTCTCTTCAACTTTTTTTCAAAAGTGACAAATCATCAAGGGAGCCCAAACTTCTCTCTTGTATTCCCTCTCGTAGTGTAGTAGCCTATGAGAGTAGCGTAGTTATAATTTCTCTATAGGAAAAGGGCTACACACGATACGTGTAATTATTTGTTAGTCTACCAAACCAGGTCAGAATTCTTCAAATTAATATGCAGATTCTACGAGTAAAAATGTCCATACGAGGAATCTGTGTCCACCAAATAAGTCACCAAAATTGTTAGATCCACTCTTCAAAGTTTTGGTTGGGCTAAGGTCAACTACCATGCTGGCATCCTACCATGCTATATTAAGCTAATATCAGAAAGCCATTGTAGGAAAAATAACAAATTACACGTCATGAGGGAATACCCACATGATCCCATAAGTAAATAGTACAAGGAAGATATGCTGAAGTTTACCTTCTTAGTTTTCCCTTTTGTATCTTGAAACTGTTGCCAAGCATTTTGCCGCTTGTTTTGCGTAACTTCAAGTTTCTCAAAACGAACTTTTGACTTGAAAGCATGTATCTTCTTGCGTTTAGCAGCTCTCTGTGATGTTAGTCAGAAGCATCAGTACACAACATAAATTTAGTCCAAAACGGAAAACAGAAAATTTTTCTCAAGAAGGATGTAGATGAGTTTGTGGATGTAGAATGACAACGGAATTACATTAATCATTCAAAAAAGTATGCTTCCAAATAGACTCGCATATGCATAAAGAAAAACTTTTGATCATACCAAAACTAGAAATCAACTCTTCAGATTGTTATTCTAAACACGATAGAGAGAAGGAATTCTTTAGCAGCTAAAGCTAGTAAATGTAGAACAAATTATATAAGATTAATGGCGCAGAAAAGCTTGTGTTAAATTCTAAGGTATCTGATGCAAACAGGA